AGATCAAATGCCGGGAAACGGGAATATCCTTTGTCCCCACGGAGTAGAGGGAGCCAGGCGATCGTTGAGCCGCATTCAAACGGCTGGGGCTGCGATTGGCCGGGCCGCGGCAAGCACCTCTTCAGAAAATATTTCCACGTTCTCTCTCCCCTTTCCCCCCTGCAGTTAATTGTTCCCGATCAGTTTTTCCGTGTCAGTGACTTCCATCGGCGCCGGTGGCGACGTTTCACGGCGCACGGTCTCCTGGAGTAGTTGGAAGGGGATCTGGTATTGTCAGATTTTCCAATTGAATTCCCATCTCAGCAGTGTCTGCTGAGCACGTCCATAGTTTATCGATGATACGTACCACCTTTTAGTGTTATCTGCAATTAGAGAGTGTGTAAACTTCTTCGTCTGTCTGATCATAGTCGCTGTAGTTCTACTTGCCGCGCCAGAGACGCGGCTGTTCCACTTGCCTCACTTGTGACGGTCTCACTCCACTTGTCTGACGTACCAGGGACCCGTTCCACTTTCAGGAGAACGATCGACCCCGTTTTTATGGTGGAAAATTATTCGGAACGAGTGAATTCAGGACGTCGAGTGGGTCAAACAGAGCCAACTATTCACACGACCAAAATGGGCGATCGTCTCTCGATTTTATTTATCGTGTGTATGCTGGGGCGCGAAATGCCGAGGCTGTCGTGATTTATCGGCAGCCAGGGCGATGACAAAGCCCGTCACATATAGTTTATGCCGCCGTTACGAGCAGTTCCACGGCTAACGAGCATTTCCAGTAACTCGACGCCCGCGAATTAACACGCTTTGCCGTTCTCGCAATAATTTCGGCCCGAGTCCAAACGGGACCGAGTTAGCCCAGAAACGATGCCATAATTAATCGTGGACTGGAATGCATAATGCTTCAGGGAAATGAATCTCCTGGTTGTCATCATTTTTCAATTATTGTTCCCGTGAATCATCAGATTTTTGTACCCAACTTCTGCTTCTTTGTTGGTAGCCTCTGGCTCATGTTCCAGATTCCCTTTTTTTATCAATACAAATAAATAAAATTTCAGTGGAAGCATACTGCAGAGTGTCAGGGACACCTGTTCCCGTTTGGAACCACTTTGATCCTCATGAAAGATTGATCATAGAATTTTGTAGCATTTCAGTTCTGTTTTGAACTAGCTGAATTTTGTGTGGTAATTGTACTAATTCGTGTACAGTAGTAGATCAGTGAGTGGGTGGGAGTCACTTGCAGTTTGGTCAGACGACATACCTGTTGTTTCTGGCAAGTGATCGAGCTCAATGATTGGTCTGACTTGACGGCATTCGGGGCTATCGATTCCCCCAGAAGCGTGTACGCGACTTTACGACCTCGGGTTTGCGTGTATTTTTAGCATCTCAATGACTTACCTGGACGTCTCAAAGCAGCCTCACCTGGAGTCTGACATTTCCGCGGATGGAGAGTCCTTGTCGACTAAACTGTACGAAGTTTGGGTTACCTGTGATAACTTTGAATATATTGCAAGTAGTAAAAGTCAACGATATACGAGATCTTTTTCTTCTTACCTTGAAGCATTCAAGTATTATTTATTAAATCAAAAATTCTTGATGTTATGAGATGGTTCCCTAGATCACCCCCAAGATTTTTCATCCCCAGTAACACTTCAAAAACTTAACGTGGCAACAATTCAGGGGGTGGATTATGCGAAGCTTCTTCATCCAGAAGTGAATTTAGTGGCTTCCACACTCGTTTATCTGGGGATACGGTAGCACGAGGCACCCCAGGCCGCGCTATAAATAAACAAATGTATCGCACATCATAAATCGCTGTACTGTACCAGGCCCCTTATCAGCTTTTACCAGAAGTGTGGGGTACTGTGTCTGGATTTTCACCCCTCAGAATTGTATCGTTCGGATTAAACGTTTCTTTAAACAGGCCACCTACTCTAAATTCTACAAGGGTGGTTTTCCCATTCTTTCAAATTTGAAAGAACCACCCTTAAAAAACGGATTTCTAGTTTTAGCCAAGCTTTACCCTCCCTCTTTCGAAGCTTATACCTACCCCAGTATGAAGTTGTTACTTGAATGTTAAACCGTGACGCGTCTAATTTACCCTCGGGCGATTCAACCTCCTACCGCCCGGCTCACGCACATCACGCTATAGTGTGTGTTCCTTTAAGGGGTTGCACCCTTGTACTGGGGGGTTGGTACACACCCTCTCGCTTCGAGGGATGAAAAACCTTAGGTCCAAAAGGGGGGAGGGGGATGACGTCGAATAAAATTTGCATCGCATTAGACACAAGTATTTTTCCGCGTAGCCCCTTAAAACCGCCACCAACAAAACTCACCCCTCGGCGAATTTTAAATCTCCCGCCTGGTCTTCCCTTCCTCTTTTTCTTCGCATTCTGTTCGTTGTTATTCGAACGACGGTGGCTCTGGCAGTCCAGTCACGTAGCTGACAGTGCTCGGTGAAAATTTTTCATCCCTAGTCCGCAATCTTATATATTCTACTGTTTCATCCCCCTTAGGACGTTTTATCCTCCTTATTCCCTCTGTCCCTGCATATTCGTGATCCTCTAAGATTTTTTTTCGGTTTTTTCTGTACTTTTTTCACCCTTCTTTTTTGTTGGAATTTCCGTGTGGCACGTATGGGGGGTGCGAGCTCAATTAAAATTGCAATTAAACGTAAATGTGGGAAATTGTAGGGGTGCGCAAGGGAGATTTCGCTGTTTTATAGCTGACTGGACAGGGTGGGTTTATTCACGCGCACGAGCTCGCTGGACCTAATCACGATACCGTAGTTTTCAACCCCCTGTCAAAGGTGTGGGGGGTTGAACGTGCTTTTCCGGGTAAGCGGTAACGAGTGTAACGAAAACGGCTCGTCGGTATGCGACGCTGCGTTTTTCCCGTAGTCCTCGACTCGCCTGGATAACAGGCACGTACGTCGGTTCTACTTGGGGGGTGGTTTGAGAACCATAAAAATCCCAAAAAATTCGCTGCCTTCATTCTCTTGTATCATAACTTTGCATGTTTCACATCCACTTCAGAATTCTACCATGAAAGCAACCTGAGAATATTTTCCAACACTTCAATTTACAATCTGTACTTGAGGGGGTAGTTTGAGAATCAGAAAAATCCCCAAAAATTCTGTCTTCATCCCTTGTCCATATTCCACCCTATTTTTAAATTCTAAATAACCTGAAAAATATTTTCTACCACTTCAATTCATAATGTAAAATTTGGACTACAAACTTTACTGAATAATTTTTTTAAATTGTTTAAAAAAAGCTGATTGGATTTAAAATGAAAGAAAGTAGTTCCAGGGGGTGTATGAAAGTGAAATTTTTTAGATTTCAGCGATTGAGGGGGTTGTGAGAGGATGGAAGCGTTTATGAATGATAATTAGTGGCGTCAACACCCGTACGTCGCACTGTAATCTGAATAGCGAACGCATAGAAACCAGAGCTTTACGTCGAGGATGAGCTTCCGAGGGCGGTGATTGTTCGTCGTCTGTGGTCCGTTCCGCGGGTATTGTCCCTTTGAACCGAAAATTCCAAAGCGGAGCTGAAGCTTCAGCCGACGAACACACCCGTTCGTTAATTACGCCACCCCTGGCCGAGGGGCTAAACCGAAAGATTACAGGGGAAATATTTTTCCCAGTGTGTCGAAACTGCGGCGAGTTTTCGTCGTTTTGATGCCAGTCGTAATTTTGTTTGTAATTTTTGTGCAAACATTTTATTGGGATAAATAAATTGGTGAAAGGGGTGGTTTTTTAAAATTAATCACACAATCATACTGTGTCACTTGAAACTTCTTACATTTCTTTTTTTTAAATTGACAGCTTTCACTAAGTAATTTTGGTGAAATAATTGTTTATAAATGTATCCTGTTACTGTTAAGCTTAACTTGGTGTGTCTCCTGAAACTTCTCAGATTTCTGAAAATTGAAAAAAGCTTTTTATTGGAGGTTTCCTTTTTTTTTTTGTTTGTAACAATTTTTGTGAAATAACTGTTACAATAGATGTATTGTTAGTATTTGGTAATGTTAAGCTCGTAATTTCTTCAGTGGTGCAGTGGAACATTTTTTAAACAGAGAGTAAAATGACGCCAGTAGAATGTCCCTTGTTGGGATCAGATGATATTCCAGGATTCCATTAGCCAGACGGAGACATAAGCGTCATTTTCATGCGAGCTCGTGGCACTTTCACGGGTGGAGTGAGCCGTGAATTATTTATTTCTGCAAAGCTGCGACTGCCGCTCTGGACAATGCTTGCTTTGGCGACCGATTATCCATGGTATTTACGGTTTTGCATAATCCTTCATCCCCATGCTTTCATTCCCTGTCGCCTTTCTAGTCACCTTTCGTCCTCTATTTACTTGATCCTTACCACTTTGACTCTGGAACTGTAAAATACACGAAAGTCACAGGTCTCAGGATCCAAAAAGAATATATTATCCTGTTACAACAATCCTTTAGTCTACTGACAAATGTTTGACCAATTATTCTGTTGTATCACATATGAGGTCTGATTGCAGCTATGTTCTTCCACTTAATGCCTGACCAGTAACGTCTTCCTCCACTGATTGTCTTACAAATTTTGCCATTAATTGTAAGTTTCTGACCAGGTATTGTTACTACCACAATGTTCTGATCATAGGAACTCTATTCTACTTCGTGGCTGACTGTACACAGAGTTACTCTCCTAATGGGGTCTGACCACCGAGAAGCTTATTCCACTGAATGACTAACCACAGACCGACTACTTCTGCTCACACAGGTCTGATCACAAACAGATCTCTAACCCCAGGGAAATTGTCCTCTCGAAAACTCTAGATCCACTGAAAAGGGACTCGAACAGCTCCCCTTCCTCGCCCCACAAAACTTTCTCCATAACTGGATTGAAAGGGAAAAGTTACCCCAAAAGGGACATGGAGTACTAGAGAGACACTGAGGGTAGTTCTATCTGTTTGCTCGTCCCGTTGGTAACGTTTGATCTTCTCTGCTTTCAGGACAAAAGAATGAAGATGAAACTGATGGACCGGGAGAAGGGTCTGGAGCTCTTCGGGAAGTTCATACGCACGAAGAATGTGGACAGCCTTCAGGGTGAGCACGGGAAGGGTGGACCGGAGCCGTTGCATCCGACCGAGTCGAAGCAGAAATTACAGGCGAGTCCCTTTCGCAATTTCTAGCCGGGCAGAACTGTCATTCATCGATCCAGCCGCGAAACTTCATCAGTCTACCATGGTCTGACAATTTAATCAACCCCCCTCCCCATCAACTACTTCTTTAAAGCTACCATGCAGCGTGGGAAGCACATTCTCCACGTCACACGATCCTTATTTGTCCGTATCACAAGGGAAGGACGTTAAAAATAGCCAAGACGAAAGAAAATACGAGCCGGTCTGTAAAAACCCACCCCCTGTGCGACCAATTCCATCCCCCAATCCCCCGTCCAATGCTAAGATACTCGTCTATTTTTCGCTTCCTATCTGAATCTCCAAGGAAAGACGCCTTCCGCGCGAACACGGATTCACCACCCTGCCGTATATCGATCTCCACGAGCTATTTTTAACGGGATTTTTCAACCCCTTGCCCGCGAAGTCGTGGGCGAATCGTTCGCGAAGGCCTGGCTCCTTCAAGCCACGTGATCAATCTCCGGGAGAACCTGATGGGAAATTAATTTTCCTGTCCTTCAATCTTGTTCCGCTCGTTTTCTAACTTTTTCACCCGATTCTCGTTATTATATGGGGTGTCGAGAAGTGAAAAGGAAGTTTTAGGGTGTTTTAAGGGGTGTAACCCCTTGGTAAAGGGTGTTAAGAGATGGAAGCCCCTAGTTATGGGGGGTTAAGGGATGGAAGCCCCTAAGTAGAGGATCTTAAGGGCGTGGAAACCCTTAGTTAGGGGATGTTAAGGGGCGAACATCCCTAACTGAGAGGTGTTAAGGGGTGAAAACCCTCAGTTAGGGGGGTTAAGGGATGGAAACCCCTAACTAGAGGGTGTTAAGGTGTGGAAATCCCTAGTTGGGAGGTATTGAAGGGTTGAAACTCCTAGTTGGGGGTTACTGAGGGGCACAGAACCCTACTTACGAAGTGTCAGGGGTTAGAAACACCTACTTAGAGGGTGTTCAGGGTCGGAAGTCTCTACATAGGGGATGAAAACTTCGCGAAAAGGTCTTCTTTTTCTACTCTACACATTCACGAACGTGTTTTCGATTAGTTTAGTAAAGGAAGTTTGCTTCAAATTGAGAAGGGTCCAACAATCCCCCAGTCTGGAGGGTGCTGAAGCTCTCCGTTTTCGGCCCCCCTGTGGTCACCCCTACCTATGTAAGGAATTATTAATAAGATTCGTAACCGAGGGGTAAAAAATACAACATTCGTGGAAACTCACCCCCAAATACAGGGACGATTCCTTCGATCGATTTCGCCGTTTCCACTCACCCTCCTCTTCCTCTTCCCCTGGGAGGGGGCGAGTGTTAGGTCAGACCTTTCGGAAACAGCCGTCGCGCATCGAACCGCGCTTTAACCGCGCGATATCCGCGGATCCGGGGGCTTCGTTTATTGGGAAAGTTCCTCGAGCTGTTTAGGCGTGACCGGAGACCGACCCTCGAAACGCTCACCCTCCAACCACCCACTCAGGGCGACCCTGGGGCTATTGTTCCAACGGTGGATAGAAGTTTGTTGGAAATTCTGTACAAGTATCGCCTCGGATATATCGACTATTATAAAAAAAAAAAAGTCGCTGGGGTTCTTCGGATTGAAACAGGCGCACAACGGGGGCTCTTTGTTCGATGGAACTGGGCCACGAATCTGGCCTGTAAATACATTTTTAGCGTTCGTCAAGTGGATTATCGGGTGTGGTTTGTTTGATTTGTAACACCAGATTTTTCTTGGCCTGACTATGCGTAAGGTTATTTTACTTGAACCGAGTCTAATCGAAACTATGCATTTTCTTTTTGGTTAGTAGAAGCTAAAGGGGTGCTTTTTTAGGGACGATAATATACATTAATGCCAGTCCGACCAATGTCGGGATTATTCTACTTTATATATCTCTAATTTCTGTCTGACATTATATAGTACTCTACTACTGGACACTAGAGTGATGATATATCTCGTAATTCTATTTTCGGAGATCTCCACTTGAATGATTAATTAGTAACTGCTATTACTAGCAACTCTGATTAAACGTGTCACCGGAATATCGTGAAGTTTAGATATTTTTCTACGTTACAGAAGTGCCTGACGACTCTGGACCTGACGTCCTTGGGGGTTGGCTCCTGCGTCGGGACAGGGATGTACCTTGTCGCGGGGATGGTGGCGCGCAGTGTCGCCGGGCCAGGCGTCGTCATCTCGTTCATTATTGCGGCCATTGCTTCTATTTTTTCTGGTAAGTTCACCCCTTGATCCACCCAAATCATTCCACTCAACATTGTTCCTCCTAAAAAGAAATGAAATGGAATTTATAATGTTTTCAACAAAGATTCATCACTTGGAGGAGAAGTGACGTCTTGAACGGTGCTCAGACGACGTTTTCTACTTCCCTGTAGCGACAGGAATTCTCAACAGGAATTTACCAGGGGTGTATGTAACGGTGTCGGATTAGATTTAAAGAGGAGTTGTGTACCGGAAGGGCCGTGCAGAGGCTGTCAGGAACGGTTCTGCGCCAGGAAACGTTGGGAAATCCAATTCTTTTCTACTTACAGAAATTTAAAGTACGTGGCCGCCTTCTACCCGGATCCGCTTTGTACCGGTGGAAAAATTGAGTGGTAAAGTACCACGTTGTGTCAGACACTGGAGCAATTATTGTGAATCCGGAACCGAAATTCTGGATGCACTTAGCTGTGATTATAAATAAGTGATTCGTCTTACAAAAATATCTCTTATGAAAGGATAATCTCTACGTCTGACCTAACGCAGAATTATTCCACTTGCGAATTCCACTTGTCTATGATTTAATTATATCCGTGTCCTACTATAAATTCTTGAGCTGTGTACTATCTCGTGGTGTTCGATTTCAGATGATTCTGTTTATCTTACCGACGTCTGACCAAACGCGAACCCCTTCTACTTACACGTTTCCGATCACGTACGAATCCTATTATATCCGTTCTATACACTCGACTATATTCTGTTTGATAGGCATAATAGAGTCCGACCATAAATGATTCCACTCCACTTATACCTCTTTTGATCACTGGTGAGTTTCTTATGGTTTCTGTTACGTGCGATTAGGCGCTACACTATGTTATCTTTACACTTGAGTGAACGAAGATTCAATCGGCAAATTGAGGACGTAACTTTGACGTAATCATAGGTTGGTCTAGTGTCACTACATCACTATGTCTGATTTATAGGGTTCTTGTTACTTCCCTGTGTCTGACTATATAGGGACTTTGGCTACTTCATTGTCACTGACACAATTCAATTTATCACGACCTATACATAGCCAAGTAAAGACAACTGTAATTAAATTGACGTCGATTGATCATATAATTTCCTATTCTACTTACACCTACACAGGCAATTACTCTGAACTTTGTGAAGTGGTTGTTACAAACGCCCCCTAGTTCATCTTCCTTCCTTTTCAGTACACGTCTGGCCATGTAATTCCCTATTCTACTTATAGGTATACAGTCAATTATCGCAAATTTTATGAACTGGTTCTTATAACCGCCACTAGTTTATCTTTCTATCATTCTACTACTTGCAATCCACTTGAATTCTGTAGCTCGTGCTGCACGTCTGACCCTACACGTCTTCTCTTTTCCACTTTGAAAGTAGTTACGACAAAATTTAATTGCATAACAGCACCTGTCTAACCAAACATTGACCCTGTTCTACTTGTTCCGTTTCGATTTCTCTGTCAGAGATCGTACAAGTCTCGTGTCCCACTTGTCTGACAATACAAGCCTGTATTCCACTTTGAAAGTAATTACTACGAATTTTAATTGCATACCAACACCTGTTCGGCTGGATGTTGACCCTATTCTACTTTCTAGAGCAGATGTTAGCTCTGAGCTGATCATATAAATATCTTTTCCACTTGGCTGACTATAGAAGCTTCTGTTCCACCTGTCTGACCACACACATATCTTTTCCACTTCGAACGTAATTACTACCAGAATTTGCCTGCGTAAGAACAACTGTCTGACCAAATATTGATCCTATTACATTATATGTCTTCCCATCTCTGACACGTATCGCCGAGAGCAAGCGTTGACGCAGGTAGCGCTGCTCGACGTTCCAGGCGTAGAATAACGTCGGATTAGATTTACGATCGGCCCGTACGACGGGTGGTTGCGATGCTTCCTGGGGTGGGTGGCGCGTCTTTCGAGACACGCGAGGATCGCCAGAGACAGGATATATCGCCGGGTCGATTGGCCGGGCTTCTGGGCTCGATGCCACGCCAGCCAAGGGGATGGTAAAGCGTAGTTTCTCTGTTGAGATCGCGCTGATATCCTCTACCCCCCTACCGTTCACGTTTGCGCCCGATGAATAATGGAGCCCAGGGATGTGTAGCGAACTAAGGGGGATGTGGAACCTGTAGGGCAGTGTTTCCCAACTTTTTTTTTTGATCTTGTCCTACTTGCACGTATCAAAGATCTTGATATTGCCTAGAATCATACAGTAAATCCTCGATGAGTGTCCGAAGGTTCTACTGAGTGTTCAGACGTCATCCCCCCACTGGGGAGCGGTCATTAAAACCTTTAGAGTGAATAAGCACTCAGGTTTTGGTGCCCCCATATACAGTAAATCCTCGATGAGAGTCCCAAGGCTCCTTAGTAGGCTCTAAACCTCATTGAAAAGTCAGCGTAATACCTGGAGACCTCTCCTTGTCAGAGCCTTCGAGCACTCATCGAGGATATACTGTGGTGAACCATGTACGGAACGAGTTTAACATTGACTGCTGCTTCAAATTAAAAGGCGTATAGGTAAAACTGTTTTCTGATGAGGTGATGAATGTCAATGATCTGCTAATTGCTCCTCCAAATTTTCAAATTGCCCCTAGTTGGGGCGTACACGCCACGTTGGGAGACACTGCTCTGTAGGGGATTGGGCCGGAACCAGCTCTCGAGGTACAATGGCTAAACGTTTCCGTATCTTTTTCGGGCTGGTTTGACGTCACGCCACTGCGTGGGCTGGTGAATGACGGCCTTCTGACGTCATCAGAAATTTGGAGGGTGGCTGCCCACAGTTTCTATAAGGACTACTGATATAATGCGTATCTGCTGACGTAGTCTGGTTAACCCACAAATGGTAAGGTGGGGTCCGATCTGACCCGAGCTTTTTGTTCCTCCTTTCAGACGGGTGAAAAGCAGTTAGTCTCTTAAACTTGTATTTTTCTTACTTTATACAGGGTGTCCCACTTTTTGATTTGCTGAATATTTATTTTAATAAATTTTCTAAGTGATGTCCGTAAACATTGATACCTTTTTGCACTAACTAAGGGAACTATATCTTACTAGGATTTTATCATTAAAGGGTTAAATATCTCTACACAACCAGTGTCAATTGGGCAAGGTCATTTGGAGGTCAGGCGTATTTGTAGAAGGCTGATTTTAGCGGGAAACGTTGTGAATTTGAATTTTTCTGTTGTGTTTCAGGAGCATGTTACGCCGAGTTCGGAGTACGAGTGCCTCACACGACTGGGAGCGCGTACATGTACAGTTACGTGACCGTGGGGGAATTAATAGCATTCATTATCGGATGGAACATGGTTCTCGAGTACCTTATTGGCACGAGCGCGTGTGCCTGCGCCCTTAGCGCCTGCCTGGACGCCCTGTCCGAGGGCGCCGTTTCCAGCGCGATCGCGAACAGCGTGGGAACCATATTCGGTGAGTCGTAATGTCTCTTTCTCCACCTTATACAGGGTGTTACAATAATTCCGTTCACCCGGAATATCTCCGTTATTTTTAGGGATATAGAACGAATTTATTTACGAAACTTGTACGGTACAATGGTGCTCATAACGTGCCAGTGACAATTGTTTTTTGCAGATGCAGGATTTTCAGAAATTTCAAGGTATTTTTTTAAATGGTAAGTTGTTACCTTTCATTCCTAGTAAAATAGCGGACATTTAAGGGATTTCAACGACCTCCGATACACGGTTATTCGACAATAAATAAAGGAGTAAAAAGTGAGTTATGTGCTTTATTTTATTTGTTGTTGAGTAACTTTTTATTAGAGGTCGTTGAAGTCACGTAGACGTCCGTTATTCTACTGGAAATAAAACGTTATAGTGTGTTATTCAAGAAAAATAGAATGATGTAATCTCCGGAAACTTTCAACCTGGAAAAAAATGCCACCAACGCGTTATGGTCCTGACTGAATTATACAATTTTTGTATATAAACTTTTTCCATGTCTCTAAAAATAACGGACATCAAAAATTGGTGAACAGAAGAATTGGGCCAGTTTGTACAAATCCGTCCAGGTTTCCTTAAATAGTATTCCGTAGCGTTTCTCGATCCTCCAAGTAGTTAAGGTCTACGATTTCCGTGGCTCAAAGTCATTAAGGAAGATCTCGTGTGCCGTGCCTGGAAAGAACGATTTTCTGCTTGTAATAGCCGGATGATGTATGACTTTATTTCACTTGACAGTCGACGGGAACATGTTGAACCCCTTTTTTTTCTACTTGGCCGGTCTGGCCACGCGGGGGATTATTCTACTGCGTCGGCTGTGTGTTGCCGGATGGATCGATGCCGCACGTCGAAACGCAAGTATGATTTATCGGGTTCACCTGTCCGACTAAAAGCCTGGATGCACCACTGACGGATGCTTGAAAAGTGGTAGGTCACTCCACAATTTCTTGGTATCAATCACGGTGCGCCCGACGCTACTCGAAGATGGAGAAGCTCCGTACGGGATCATTCTACCGGTGACTGACGTTCGGAAAGTAGAACGTCCTTCTATTTGCGTCGTATCGATTCCAGCCCGGAGTTCATTCTACTCCGTTGTTCCGAGAAGAAATTGTTGTGTGCGAGCCGCGACGTCGTTCATTCTACTTCGTTGGATCATTCTTTTGTGGTATATTGCACAAAATATAATGGACTATCCGGTGATAGGATCGTTACTTTATGGATACATTAAAGCGAGTAGTGGCTGACTATACGAAAGGTCATTCAACTTGGCACGTGTCTGACCATTCATGCAGTCACTCCCCTCAAATAGATCCAGAAATAGGATATTCTATTTGTTGGCTCCAGTAAAAGGTATTATCCTTTCTTCTATTGATTATGGCCATTTCCTTTTGACTTCTTGTATCCGCCTGACCAAATATGTAGCTGCATCACTTGCAGAATTTCTGACCATATATCGAGCTACTTTTCCGAATTTTTTTCTAGAAGATCTCACAATAGATAGTTACATCTCACGGATACAATCTTTCGGAACAAAGGATCATTTCACTTTCGTCTGACCCAACACCAAGTTATATCACTTCCATACCGTCTGACCATATTCCAGGTCACTCCCCTTCGAATGGTACTCGGAATTTTCATTCTGCGAAACAATTCTCCCTCTGTTGCGGTCGTTGCACTACAGGACTGGCGCAGAGGTTCGCGAGGAGATTGTAAGGATAAATTGCGTTCGTGGTGCGAGGGAATTTTTTTCCTCGCGAAACAGGCTCCAAGCGTAGGGGGGTGGGGGGTGGCGCGTCTGATAATCGCGTTCCGTCGCGCTTATCGCGGCGGATGACAAACCCCTGGTCGGAGAGGCTTGATCTAATTTTATGAAATTAATTTAGCGGCGAACCAACCTCTTTCCCCCGTCGGTCCTTTTCACGCGGCTAACAACTAATATCGATTTTTTATCCCCTCCAATCCGAAAATTTACAAAAATTAAAAATCTTTGTGTTGTTGATTTATATAGGGTGTCCTTCGAGAAATAGTAAAACTCTGATGGAGTTATTTGCGAGTTCCTCTTTTTTCAGGGCTTGTACATATTTCCTTAGTGGTTAAGTGGTGAATTATATAGGGTGTCCCTAAAAAACTAGGAAGTTTGATGGAATTATTTGTAAGTTCCTTTTTTTTTTGAGGAGTTGTACATATGTCCTAGGTGTTAAATTATATGGGGTGACCCCAAAAAAATATGACGGTCGGTGGATTTATCTGTGAGTTCCTCGTTTTTCAGGAGTTGTACGTATTTCCAGTGGAGAGACTATGTATAGAGAATGGAATGTTTACGAGCGTGGGAACGAACAGAACCTTCCCGTTCAATATTCCGGCCAGAGCCGTTCGTCTTTCTTTCGTGAGACGAGCTCCGATTTCCTCCTGTTGTTACCGGATAGTGGAGGCGATACTAATCGATTTCCCGTCTCGAAATCCTCCAGGGATACGAGTTTTAAATGTTCCCGCCCGTTTCGATGCTCCCTTGTTATTTTCTAGCTGCACAATTTTTTTTTGTTTTTTTTTTTTTTTCATTTTCACGCCACACTTCCGTATACGCAGTCGATTACGGGAAACTTTTACGGTTCTTTCGGTTACTCTTTCATTACTTTTTTTTATCTTCTAAGTGTTGCGTTCGCCTGGGAGGCTGTTTCGTATCCTGTGTGTTTACTACGGTGCCCTATTTTACATTTTTTTTTAAACGCAAGGGTAGTAAGCCTCGAGGGATATGTTCCATGGACTTTCTGCCCAGAGGAACATGTAAATCCTTCGAGTATTTATGCATGAACATTTCACTCCGGTTTCTGGAAATTCTGCGTTGGTGGCCGCGAGTGGATACGAGGTTTCCCCGTCGCTGAAATATTTAAGGGAAGCTCTGGCGAGTAAACCGACGAAGAGAAATTACTTCTGAAACATAAATTACCAATTCCAAAGTAATTATCGTAAAGTATTTCAGGCAAGATTATTTGTCCGACCAAATATTAACCCATTTTACTTGTTCCTTTATTTTTATTCCGCATGTCTGACCATATAAGTCTCGTTTCTACATTGACAATGTTACTACGAAATTTAATTGTAAAACAACACTTGCCTCTGTTCAAATATTGACCCTATTCTATTTGTTTCTTCTTAGTTCATCGGTTAGACTTCATATAGTTTCCCCTGTTCCACTTGTCTGACTCCCTACGCCTTATACCACTCGTCTGCCCACATACGTCCTTATTCTACTTGGACGACTAGATAGGTCGAACAAGGGAGAACATTTAAATTCAGTGCATTCTCGACTCTCTGTCTGTCGAGTGTATGAAATCGTGGAGAAATTTCTAAAGGAGTCCTTGCCACTCGTGGACAGCGAAAACGGTGTCGACGAGGTTTCGTTGGCTCCTGAGCCACGACGAAAATAATTCGCGAAGCTACTTCCACCCCCTGCAAATTATCAAGTCCACCCTCTCGAGCAGACCGGGCCGAAGAAATTTTCGCCGGAACAACAAGAAACTTGCATCTCCGTGCAAGAAATGCTTAACGAGTCACGGCAACTCGCGCGATATCCTGATAAGACACGCCTCGTGGCGACGTAACGGGTGACCTTTTAATACCGACCAACGGATCGCAAGATTAACGGTAATAATTCGCCTGGATCGAGTGTGTCGGGGCAAGTGTTTGGTAAATATTGCTGAAAGGAACTAGGGATAACACAAAATTAACCCGTGATCCTTGATCGAATAATTCGAAAGATCCATGAGGACAGCGGAGCCATTGGAAGGTAAACAAAGGGATCATTCCTGGTGACTAATTGGGTTCTTACGAAGAATAACAATCGTGACCTGGTCCGTGTTATTCCGTGTTTGAAATGGAAAATGGTCGGGATAATACGAAGTTACATACCGGGTGGGACATAACCAACGGAATTATTCGAAATTATACGTCAACTTTACGGTAAGCTCCACGATATGAAATTATGGTAATAACGGTATTAATACCCTGGAAACATAATCTAATTAGGAAGGAAGCCAGGTCATATACAGGGTGAGTAAAAAACACCCTGTAGGAATAAATTCTTTCATCTCAGTTAAGCTACCTATGGTATGGGTTCTGTCAACACCAGCGTTAATCACATTGCATCGAAAATACAATTACATACAGGGTGACGAAAAAATAATTCTAGACAGAAGGGCCGATCCTCAAAGATGACCAAAGAGAAGAGCACCCCGTAGTCGCGAGGAAATAAGAACAAGAGTAGGAAGAGGGATGAAAAAGCTCTGGAAGGGCGTAAGGGGTGGATTCCGGGGATAACAAAAGGCTGAAGGGGGTGTAAGAGGGGCGCTTGCGCGGATGAAGTCTAGCACCTGTGGACCTCATCGATCCGAAACGGGGTTCGCGAAGCCGCATACTTCGATGCTCTTTAACCTGCCCACCTGAGCTCGCCCCTCGCCCTTTTTCCCTTTTCCCCGACCAGCCTCGATTTCCCCTCGCAAACTAACTCTTTGATCGTCTCCTAGGTTCCTTCGATCATCCTCCAACGGAAGCCATTGTTTCCAGGTCGAATTACTCAGCAGATCTCACTAGGCGGTTGACTCCAACAGAGCCAATTTTTCTGAGCCACTAAGAACGATCCTTCAGCGTCACTGGTAAAACTGTAATTCGATTGGGTCTAGGTGCACGGATCGGAGGCGTCGGTCCAATCGATTTCGCAGTCGGTGTCGTTCTGTGATCGGTCAACTGAACGGTTGTTGCCTGACTGGCAGTTTTTATGTTTAACCGACCGCTTGATGCGTTTAGAGATTGATTGCTGGTCAATGGTCCACTTTATCAGCCAGGGCATGCAGATGAACATACCTTAGCCCCACTTCACCCTCAGTGGCTATCAATGGGCGTTGATGAAGCTGGTTTAGCTGGCGAACGTGAGTGCAGTAGCCTAGTTTTGTCCTGTAGACTTTAGCTACCTTTAGCAGAAGCATTGGATAGTGAATGCACTTCTGTTGGGGTAACTCTAGGCTTTTCAGGATTCGTTATATTTAAGGTATCAGGTTCTGAAATTTTTAGTCTGGCTAGTACACGTGAGAGTAGTCGTTTATCTGGACCTAGAACCTTTAGCTACCATCAGTAGAATCGTTGAAGGCCAGTGAGTGTAGCTGAAGCCTCTTGAGGAGTCCTTATATTTAGGGTATCAGGCTCAGAAATTTTTGGTCTAGCTGGTAAACGTGTGTGTAGTATCCTATCTGGACTCCTAGTTTGGGCCTAGAGCCTATAGCTACTGTCAGTGGAAGTGTTAGAAACTAGTGGATGTAGTTTTGTCTGGGTAGCTGAAGTCTCTTGAAGATTCGTATCAGGTTGAAGAATAAATTTACTTTCTGAGTTTAATTGTCCTTCTTCTTGTATCAGACAGGTACAATGAGCCAGCTGGTCCATCGTAGAGGGTTCCAAATAAAAGAGGGTGAGCTCCAAAAGCCCTGGATCGGTGCTATTATTATCACCTGGCCTGATGATCGACGTTCTCTCCTTTAGTTTGACGCTTTCATTTTTCCGTCAGGCTGTCTGTGGCCTATTTCTCGGGTTCACGTTGGATTTCTATAGGAAATATGTTTCTCCATCGCCTCTGGCCGTCCTCGTTCCAATCTGACGTCTCACGTTTCAGGCTGTACTGGATTTAAATAGCTCGAGTTAGGTAACATAGGTCATGATTTTCAGACACCTGTTATTCCTCTGGGAAAAATGGAATAAGGATTCGGCAGATGGTACTCTTCCCTGGAATTTTATCCGAATTTGGAAATTTTTTTACTTTGAAGTGAAACCGTTAGGGACATTTTCGAGGTGGCAATTAGAGGATCCTCTATTTTAGGAATCCAAATTTTTCATCATATTTCCAAATGTCCATTTCACTAGCCTTTCCCACTCAGATCAATTCAAATGTTTTTTTTTTCACAAAAAGTTAACTCTCCCTCTCTCTGTCTGTCCGGGAAACATAGCACGGAAATTCCTGGCGCCAAAAACACTTGACACCGGGGCGGCGAACACGACAAAAAGACGACCGAGACTGACAAGCCGGCGAAACGAGCGCGAAAATGGATAATGCCGAGCGTTCCAGAGCACGAGGATACAGGATTGAAATAAATAAAAACGTCAGGGCGAAGACGGTCAATCGGGATGTAAAACACTGGATGTTCGGTAGAGAACTTGATTTCATTCAATCTGATTTTTCCGTACGGCAATCCTCAGAATTCGGCGCGTTTATTGGATCAAAATGTAAAGATACTATTAGTAGGATATTTATTCTATCTATCTGGATATTTTGTGTTACTACTTGTTTGACTTATCGTTGATTTACGCTACTTGTCTGACCAGTAATTGACTGATACTACGTGTACTACATATGATTGACTCTTACTACATGTACGACATGTCATTGATTCATACTACCCGTTGATACACTCTACTTGCCTGACCAAATACGGATCCCATACTTCTTGCCTGACCGTACATCGAGGCATACTACTTGCCTGACCGTACACGGAGGCATACTACTTGCCTGACCATACATTGAGGCATACTACTTGCCTGACTTATTATTGAGAAATGTTTATTGGTATTAAATTGAAGAAGGACTTATTATATTTGCATTATTATTGATACTCACTACTAACTAATCATCAAGACGTACTACTTGTCTGACTAAATATCGACCCGTACTACTTGTCCATCCAGGTACAAGCCTGCAACAAACTTTTTCTTAGTAACAACTTGAATTCCGTTTGCAAAGCGGACGGTGAATAGAATAAAACTTCGCGGGGAAACGATCGATAGACGAGAAAAGAAAAAATTGGATTCCCAACGGAGAAATTGATTCCACTAGATCCGGCCCTACCTTCCGTCCGGCAATCGTCGGCCTTCCTGCGCGCGGCCGATCCCTAAACGGGACACGTAAAGGGAATAATTTCGCATTAACGGGCCAGCCGAGGGAAATTTGGGTCGCTGCTATGCTCGTTTCGCTTCTTCGTGGTGCAGAAACTTCTAAACAACGGTCAATTCCAATGTCTCTCCTCTGACCAGGGTGACCTTTCTATATTCCCCCTGATCCTATGAAAATTGCAGATGGATCGGTTCGAAAATCGTCGAAAAATATGAGGTTAATCAACGGAATTCAATTTTCGAACGAAGACCGAAATTCCTTCCGTTGGACCGTGTCCATGTTTTCTAATAACACCTGGGACTTTCTGGTGCCTGCCATTCAAAATTCCGTACGTCGGATCAGGGAACCGGAAATGATGTAGATTTACTTCCGCTGGGTTGCGCCAGCCCGTCTAGGATTTACATTTATCCGTGTCGACGCACGGACAGATACTGACACGTGTATGTCCTCTGGAAAGTTTCGGGTGGCCTGGTGCCGGGAGAATTTTAATGCATAATTTCAATTGGTCCTCGGATCACGTCGGTGACGACGTGTCCAGCGTCGTCTGTTTCGATGACACGCAATATACGTGCTCTTGCGGTGCTTTCAGGTCGACCGCCCGATTTCCTAGCGTTCGTCATCACCATACTGATGATGCTGCTGATGGCCGCGGGCGTCAAGAAATCCCTGGTGTTCAATAACGTTTTGAACGCCATCAACCTGTCCGTGTGGGTGTTCATCATGGCGGCAGGGATGTTCTACGTGAACGGCAGCAATTGGTCCGAGCACGAAGGCTTCCGTCCCTACGGCTGGAGTGGTGTAAGTACCATGGAATTACTCGAAATTACCTGATTAAGCAATCACCTTCTGACCAATGCTTGATTAAAACTACTGGGACTCTTATTTCCCGAAATTACGTTCGTATAAGAGAGAGTACAGATGATACATTCGTCGCGTCTGACTTATGGTGGTCCTGTGTTACTCATGTGGGTAGTTATAGGGTTTGTATTATCACCTGTCTGGGCATATAATACACCCACTTCACTCGTGTGGGTAGACATGGCGTATATTACTACTTGTCTCGCCATATAACGTACCTATTCCATTGATTTGGGCAGATATGGTCTCTATTACTACTAGTCCGACCATACAGCGTATCTATTTCACTCGTGTGTGCATATGCGGCCTGGAATACTACTTGCCTGATTAAATATAGTCATACATATGAAGTACCTACTCCACTTTGGCTGACTATATAATGTACCTACACTACTCGGTTGACTATATAACGTTCCTACTCCACTTATCTGACCTTATGAAGTGCCTACTGCACTTGTCTGATCCTATGAAATACCTACTCGACTTGCTAAATAAAGTAACCACTCCACTTGACCATCCACACAAGGTTTCTATTCAATTGGAACAGGTTACTCATCACTGTACCAATGACAGTCATATGAAAGATTACTACCCTATTTTTCTAATTCAGAAATCTCTGTCTCCTCATTGCCTGATATAATAGTGCCTATTCCCCTTGCCTGACCATACACAAACTTCACTATTATTTGCTTTATCATGAAAAGTAACAATAACCAAGTATTCAAACCTATAACACAATTACAACGACCCTCTGTAAAATCACCGGACAAACCAACCCCTTGAACGTAACAAGATATCTTCAAGCACCAGGTGAAACACGATGAATTGTATCCAAGAGAGTGAGACGGGCAAAAATGAAGGCAGTCCGTGGTCCGTCAGACGTTCACAACCACGATGCCTGTTTCGCTGGTTCGCGCACCCTTTTCTCGGTCTCCGTTTTCAACCCCTCGAGCCGTCGGCTTTTTTGCCCGTGGTTTGCGGAAACTCTGGGAACAATGGCAAACTTGTTGCACCAGATGGGCTTCAACGTCGAAACCGGGTGCATCTGGTGGACAGACGAGGGACGGTGGGGAGAAGGGAACTCGAATTCACGCTCCGTAGGAATCTCGGCTTCACGGGAAACGTGTGGAACGAACTGGTCGGAATTAGAGCGGTGGGGGTTGAATTGTTTAAGGGTGCAACCGGAATCTGTAACGTAATTCCATTTCCTGATGACAACATTCAAGCACCACAACTTTAAACAAATATCTGTACTCCATTCTTCAATTCACGAATAATTGGGGTGGTTTCAACCCCATCTTTCAAATACACTTGCACCCCTCTGTTCTGAAAATATTTTGTTGAGGAAGAATGCTGATATTCACATACAGTACTGTTGTAACTGGATTCTATTTTTTAATTCACGAATAATTGGGGTGGTTTCAACCCCATCTTTCAAATACACTTGCACCCCTCTGTTCTGAAAATATTTTGTTGAGGAAGAATGCTGATATTCACATACAGTACTGTTGTAACTGGATTCTATTTTTTAATTCACGAAGAATTGGGGTGGTTTCAACCCCATTTTTAAAATACTTTTGCACCCCTATGATCTGACAAATCGTTCGTTAAAAAGAAAATTTTCTCACATCGTCTGTTTCGTAGTTATTGTTGAGAAGGTTTGCTCCACATTCAGTAGTCATTCTCACCCCTAAAAAAATCATCCCCCTTTCTATTCCATCGCCAGATCAATTCGATTTTGACTGCCTATACATTAATTTAGGGCTGTCGTTACAGTAGAAAAATATATTCCAATGACAACAGTTTCATCTTGGGTTCCTGTCTCTCTCATACACCCCCTCGACAACCCCTCGTCGCGTGTTTATAAGCGACGTTCGATGAATAATTTCCGTGGAAGAGGCTCTCGCACGATCTCGTACCGTGAATTTTTAATCTTCACGTTTTCACCGTGTGTTACTTCCTCCGTGTCACGTACCGGGGACAACGTTGCCATCTGGCGTGGCGAAACCACCCCCTTTTGGGGGTTGCTTGTTTCCGTATGCTCGAAACGGTGCTTTCGGTCGACCTGGTTTCGTGGGTTTCCTCCACGTGGTTCTCCAGCGATTCCGTGGAGACGTTGAACGAAGAAGAAACTTTCGAGGGTTCCCAGGAGGGGTGGAAACACCCCCTAAGGTTTACAATTCCGTTCATGACAGTAAAAAAAATGTAATTACAGCGGAAAGATCTGTAGGGTAACTACAGAATTTTATTCGTACGTTCCACTTAAAATTTCTCTCGACCATAAATGCAATCAACCCTCTTTTGCACCCTCCAACCCCCACATTAAAGACTTAATGCTCGGTGCTTTATGTGACCTTACGAGCCTGCCTGGGTTTTCTATGGCTTTTTTTTTATAGTGACGTAATCCAGTGCGTATATACCCTATTTTCCCACCCCCTCTTAAAAGTTGTTTCACAGATCAGCACTTAGGGTAATTTTACGATCAATATTAATGCATATTGCGGTTCGAGCTTGTTTGCTTTCAACCAGGTGGGTTGAAATTTCAACGGAACGAGACGCTTGGAACAGGCTGCTATTAATTATTAATTTTAATTAATGCGATAAAACTCACCCCGTACAGGGGGTGAGAAAATCGTTTTTCTTTCTTACGCGAACCCTCTGTAACCAAAGACACCCTTCGAGCACAAGTGGTTACACAAGAGGGTAGATAGTGGTCCAAGGGGGTGCAGAAATCCATCAGAAGATAATGACCACCCCCTGAATCATAAGAGGTTCCCATTAACCCCGAATAATAATTCCACCAAATAATAGTCCTTTAACGAACAGCCTCTCTTTCTTTGGAGTCGTAAAGCTTCACTATTCAATCAGGTATCGAGGTAAGAAGGTGTTCTGGGGGTGAACTTCAAAAGTTCACAAAGGGTGCAAAGAAATTCTTGTCTTACTTTGAGGGTGGCCACCCCTTGTTTCCAACTCTGAACAATTAATATCGTCCTTCTTTTTATTTAAACATGCAATTGGGTCATGCTAATATTTGCCAAGGGGGGATGACAACGCAAGGGTTGTTTGCAGAATGGGAAAAAATTGTCTTTTTTCAATTCAAGGATTCGATACGTTCGATGTTCAAGTAGCCTCTTCATTTTGACCCAAAGCTGGTCTAGTTTCAGCAGACGATGCAGCAACCCCTACGCCCTTTAACGAGCAAATTCATTCCGCTGTGACGTCGCGTGAGCCATCGCTGTGTGTGCAGGGGCGAAATACTACAGGGTCACGCGACGACCACCCACGTCCACGACGGTTTTTTCCTTTCAAACCAAATTCCTTTCAGACCCAGCAAAATTTTACCTGAGCTTCCCTCGAGTCGATATGGAACAGCTTTAACCAGAATTAGATTTCAGCCTCCAGATCTTGTGAATATCCTTTTATATTAAATATTTAAGTAAGACATGTTTCTCAGATGCCATTGACTTGTACTACTGCAGGGCTACTCCACTTTCTCTGATTCTTTTCCTCTTCAATTACAGAGTTTCTGGAGCCACAAAGACTTCAGAATCGTCTGACCAAGCACGTTAGTTTTATACTGCGAGCGCATGAAGGCATCAGGAATTCGTAACAGCATGTTAGAGAGCTGTGAAAAATTAAACGGCTCGAGTCCATTCGGAACAAAAGCCATCTAATTTCGCAATTTTACACTTCCGAGCTTTTGCCTCGATTCGTTGTATAAATATTTCCGTGACGAACTCTAATTAAACAAAAAAAGTTCTGCTCCGTGAGTTCCCGAGTTAATTAACCCTTTAATTCCACATTCCTGGGTGTGATATGCTTTTAAAAAATAATTCTACGTTGGTTGGTTGAACGACAAAGCCGACAGGGTCTTCACTCACGACCAAAAAGGTCAGGGTTCAAATCCCATTGAACCCCAAAAGTTTTTCTCATCGATTGAATCGTCAGAAACAAATGTTCACAATGTTTAATATCCATTTACAGCATTTTCGTAAATTTTCAGATGCAGTACTCAAATACTTTCAGTGGAAATTAATGAAAACCGTCTGGTTTCAGGTGTTCACCGGTGCGGCGACGTGTTTTTACGCGTTCATCGGGTTCGATATTATAGCAACCACCGGCGAAGAGGCGACCAACCCGAAGAGGAGCATCCCCCTCGCAATAGTCTCGTCGTTGATCATAATTCTCATCGCCTACGTCACGAGCAGCATGGTGCTGACGTTGATTGGTGAGTGAATCGTTTCCGTATTCTGGCTTTGTCGCCACCAACAACAGACGAATCCGACGTACTCGTTCCAAAAATGAATCCCCTGAATCTTTTCAAGGTCGTAGAATTTCTCAAAGGAATTTATCAAGAGCCAGATATTCCAGTGATCACTGCTGAACTATTGGCCTAATTATGAACCAACTATCTGCGATTGCTTTAGAGATAATAAATGTTAAATACTGTCTGTGAAGTAATGTAATTAATTATTAAAGGTTCAATGGTGTCACTTCGATTTTATCCGCTGGATAAAAGGCCCTTGGCCATCCTTGACCTCCCATTACGCGTCCCTGGCCATCCTTTCTATGTCACAGCGATCCCCTATCCTCGTCACAGACGTTACACGGTTCGTTATGCTTTTAAATAACACTGGTCGGTCTTTTCAAGTACACCGTCACTATACAATGTAAAAATAACCTTCTTACGCAAGTTTGCTTGATGGACAGATACATAACTGAACCGATCCACTTCCAGTTCCGTACGACGAGATAGACCAGGACTCAGCCCTGGTGGAGATGTTCGGCCAGGTCGGAGCATATAAGTGCAAGTACATCGTCGCTGTTGGTGCACTGGCTGGATTGACGGTCTCCATGTTTGGCAGCATGTTCCCTATGCCTAGGATAGTCTACGCCATGGCTCAGGATGGCCTCATATTCAGGTAAAGGTCATCAGGATCGTCTAAGTCCATGAGTTAGTGTCTCCTGAGCTTTTAGGGCTCTAGGAATGAGTTTTAAAGCATCTAGGCATGAGCCTTGGATGTCTTAGAGCCTCCAGAGATGTCTCAGATCCTTTAGAGATGTCTGGGAGCATTTATAGATGTCTTAGGGTCTCTAGATATGAGTCATAGATGTTGTAGGGTCTCTAGAGATGTTTTAGAAGCTTTAGAACCTGTAGAAATGAGTGTTAGATGTCTTGGAGCCTCTAGAGATATCTTAGAGCCTTTAGATAAGTCTTAGATGTCTTAGAGCATCTAAGGATAGGTCTTAGAGCCTCTTCATCCAGTGATCCCTCGATATTTCATTTTATGTAACCAGGAGTCTGAGCCAAGTGTGGCCAACAACAGGCACCCCAGCTCTAGCGACACTGACCTCTGGTGTCTGTGCAGCGATGGCTGCCCTCTTGATCCAATTGGAGGTCCTAGTAGAGATGATGTCCATCGGTGAGTTCATTTGCATCATTCTTCCCTTAACGTTATTCCCTACATTCCCTTAATTCTTCTCCGAATCTCTAGGTACACTGCTGGCCTACACTCTGGTGTCCACCTGCGTGCTGATCCTCCGCTACCAGCCCCACTCGACGAACCTGGTGGAGCTGCTGCCTCAGAGTCTGAGGACACCGTGTCGATCACCGACTAAAGAGACCCAGGGAAACGGTCAGGTGTCCTATGGGAAAGATCTGAGACCAGATCAGCTGTCCACAGCTTTGAATACCGTTCAGACCTCTGGATCAGAACTGACAACGACTAGTAACGGTCAACGTATCATGGTTCGATCATCATCTATCGTCATTCTGACATGCTTTCAATACGTTCAATGAAATCTTCAGGGTGTCAATATGATCTTCCAGGTGAGACGAGTTAGGAGATGTAACAGTTCCTCACCAGACTCTGACGACACTTACGGAGCAGAGGAGGACGAGGTGGGTTTGGGCAAGGATGATCAATACCTCGTTAGCGATAGAACCGAGAATAAATTCTACGGTAGTGTACACGCGGCTGCGGCTGCCTCCACATGCGGCAGCGCTCATCAGTACCCTGGAAACACGCCGATTATAGGGCCGCCATTGAATTACCTTCAACGTCGACTACAGGTAGATGAACTAGGGTCGCATGATTAATTATAGCCCTGTACTACTGGAACTGTAATTGCTCGATGTAATTCAAGGCGGCACAATATCTGTGCCCTGCTATCTTCCCATGGGTGGACCGAGGTCCAGCTACAGAAGCCTCTGGACGATACGTGATGAAGCTGGTTGGGATTCTCTATCTGCTCATACTGATCTTCGATCTGATCGTCGTTTGCGGCATGGGTGAGGACTCGAGTATATTATTAAAGAGAATCTGATAACGTCCATTGTTCTGAGCCTTCTGGTAATTTTCCAGGGAATATGGGAACGTTCACCACGCTGATGCTGTTTCTCTTCCTCTTCGCCATCATTGGGGTGCTACTCGCCATCAGTAGAAAGCCACAAAACAGGTACGTCAATCGTGGACTAAAACCCCTTTTGGGATCGGGTCCTAGAACTCTGTCGTATTCCAGGAACAGCATGATGTTCATGACCCCAGGGCTACCGTTCGTCCCTGCGATCGCTGTCACCGTGAACATATACCTCATCTTCAAGCTGAGCATCCTGACGCTGATCAGATTCACCGTGTGGATGATACTCGGTGAGAACCAGACACGTTTACCATTCAGTTCAGTCAGTATATCTGAGTTTGGGGCCTGTGCTCAAAGTCTGAGATCAACGAAACGTTACTGGGATGGGTTCCTACTTTCTGAAGCATAACCTTGCATATGCAAACAAGATCCAGGCTGTAGTTCCCTGGTCTTTGACGCCAATTGGCATCATCAGTGTTCATCGTCCTGCATTTTCTTCTCCACTGATTTCTAGTCAACGTGGAAGTGGAATTACCAGAAATTGATCAGGCCACCCATCTTCTAGGCTTCCTCCTGCACCAAGTAGAATTTCTTGATATTCTTCAAACCACCTACTTTCTAGGCTCCCTCATGTACTAAGTAAATTTTCTAGATATTGATCAGTCCATCTATATTCTAGGCTTCCTCCTGCACCAAATAGAATTTCCTGACATTAATCGGACCACCCGTGTTGTAGGTTTCCTCATGTACTTCTACTACGGCATAAAGCACAGCAGCCTCGAGGAGGGCAACACGTCCGAGAACCTAGACGAGAACTCCGCAGCCGGAAACATCGAGCTGACAGTGACGGATTCGCAGCGACAGCAACAGGGGCATCACCAGCCGTCGTACGCGACTTCTGACCGCAGTATCTACGAGGGCCAGCAATTGGACGCGTTCGGGCAGCCGGTGTTTAGCACGAGCTTCGGTGGTACACCGAGCCAAAGGCCGGACACGTCCGGTGGCCAGTCGTTGTTTTATTGCGCAAGCCTGACCGGCGTCGAATGTTCACCGGCGAAAGAAAAGAAAAAAAAAACTGACCCTATGGGAGCTCGCGGTTTGGGCACTTGGACTAAGTAGACTGCGGATTTTTCTGCAGAATAACATTTTATAAAGTAATGCGGATTGAGACAGTAGGGAATGTAGGTATTTCTTTGGTCTCTTGAGTATCTTGTTGGGTTCAGAATTGTGCCAGAAAACCCGCTGCATCTGATGTAAGTTTTGTCTTTCATTGATAGAAATGCAAGGAATCCGCAGTCTAGCGATGAGACATGTGTTGACATCTTGAATATCGTTCCTCCTGTGAAGATTCCTTAACTTCTTTTAAGTTTCTTGATGGAGGCAATGTCTGTCTCGTCTTTGAGGACGTTTGTTAATGTAACATGACTTTGGGCTGCTTGATGGAGACAGGAAGCTAGATTGGAGGACATTTATGGTAGATCTACGTCCCAGTAATTCTGTTGTTCAGAGTAGTTAGGTTTCAGGGCAACTGAGACCACTTGATACTGGTAATATTTGAAACTGTCTCTAAAGAGGATCTTGGTCCTCTTAAACATGTTTCGTGTAAATTGCAACTGTAATTGGAATCTCTGATCCATTTAGATCTGTTTCGTGGAGACTGAGAGTACTTGGATACCTAACCGTGGAATTAAATAGGACAGCTTTCTCTAAGTGGTTCTTCAGGTGGAATCCCTTAACGTATTTACTCTCCAAAAATTGTCCCTGTTCATTTTTAGCATTCATTAACTGTGCTCTGGTTTAGCCTCAAGTGTCTTCATCGTATAACTTATAAACTCCACTCCAGTCTTTCCGAATCCAGTGAAACATTGGGCAGAAGGCATGGACGGTCGACGATGAGGTTCTGCTTCGAAATTCCGAGCTTCCCTTAATCATTTCACGTCAATTTCCCCAGTCGACACCGTTCGATCGTCCTCTTCTACCCAGACAAACCAAACCTTGTTTTTCTCTGGAGAAAATCGTCAAACAAAAGAAACAAAATACACAAATCCGCGGGTCTCCCATGGGTGAACTTGTTGACTACTGTTTGGGACGAATGTAGCAAATAATTTTCGCGCGGCAATATTTATTAACCTAGTTGTATAAAAAAAAACCCACGGCGGGAAGAGAATCGTCGTCTAGACGTGAGGCAGGGCTGTCAGCGACGGAGATAGAAAAATGTGTACCACGGATGACGGAGGGCGTGAAAAGACCATTATCATTCCTAGCGTAAGGCGAAACTTGTGTTTTCCAAGAGAGCATTTTAACTGCTAAGAGATAAGCTAGCCGAGAGTGAGAGAGAATGCATTCAGAATGAAAGAGCCAGAGTGAGAGACTGAATGACAGAGAGAATCAGAATGAATAGAGAAAAAAAAGGGGGAAAACAATTCGTTCCTGAGTCGAAGAGTGAGAGGAGAGGAGAGTGTGAGTCGGATAGGAAACGAAGTAGAAAATCACGAAAAAAAGTAAAACGTTCACGAAAGATACAAAAAAAAAAAAAAAAAAAAAAAAAAAAAAACACATATTGATCTTGCCTAAATCTAGTCTTTCCCGTAAGAAGGAAGCTTAGCATAACGATATTGTAATCCTAAACCTAAGCTTAACTTGTAAACTTGCGTAACACGTCTTACCTCGACTTTAACGACGACGGCATCAGCATTATTTTTTCCATTGGTCGTTTCGTCCCAAGTCGTCATTAGCAATCCCTTGATCTTTCTTCGTCCGATTTGATCCAATGTTGGACGGGTTGCAGGATCAAGGGATGGCGAGGAACGTACACGGGGGTCTTTTCATGTACAAATTCTCGATGTTCCAAGACTATCCTCTCTTTGTACTCTTCTTGAACACTAACTGTAATTCCTGTGGCCATTGGTGCTTTAGGGGATGATCCGAGGCGGATCTATGGATCCATTTGTGAACTGGGTGGGCAACAAGCTTCCGATTCCCTGCGCTTGCAGGCCCAAATTTAGTAGAATTTTCATAATAATTATTTAATAAATATTTTTGTGTTGGAAGACTTTCTTGGTGGGGGTGAAATAGGGGATGAAGGTCTTTTGATGATGAAGTGTCAAACGGGAACCGGAAGTTTGCGTGGACCCATTGAGAATGTAGTTACTAAATCTGTTTCTTCTTCCCTCTCTTGCCACGAACCCTCAACAGAGAATATCAAGCAAAAACTCTCCTCCACGACCCTGTCCAGCGTTAATTTATCATTATTTCCGTAGAAAACTAACAATAGAAGCGTAGAAAAACGACAAGGACAATTTGTAAACGTGAGGGGGGGGGGGGGGAGGGGCGGCCGAGGTAATTTTTGTGTCTCCGTTTAATTCGATTATCGGATCTACATATCGATCGGTGATCTATTTCACATATCAGTCCCGTCGGGCCAACCTTTTGTTTAGGGGTTGGTTTTGGCGTAAAAATCCACGTGAGATCGAGACTGAGCGCGAGAGGGGGAGAGAATGAGGACGCATGTATGGTCGGGATATTTATCGTTAAGTATTAACGCGTCTGTTAAAAATTTTCTAATATATATATATTATATATTATATACGTATATGTATTATATATATATGACGGGATACTTTCTATCGCTCGAGACGGCTGATGTCAGTTTTCAGTTCCCAACCCCTGTAATTGTTGGCCACGATGGGGGTACTGGAAAATATTAGGGGTGGTTTGCATGGGAAATTGTCGTTTGTTAATTATTCTTCACTATTTGGAATTTTTAGTTTTATAATTTAATATTTATAATTTCTAGAATAGGGGTGGATTTTCGTTTTATGATTTAATATTTATAGTTTCTAGAAGAAGGGTGAATTTCTTGTTTCGTAAGTCAATATTGGGGTTATTGTAAAACAGTGTGTGATTATAATCGGGCTGAGTTTTCAGTAAAAAGAAGGAAGATAAATACAGTGGAGGGTTGTGAAGCTTACTTTTTAAACCAGGAATATTTACCTTCGGAAAATATTGTCAAGAAAAAATTTATTAAGCCACCCCCTTCATTCTTCCAGTACCCCCTAATTAAAAACCGTTCCGAAGTCAGAGTAATTAATAAATTAACGACAAGCTTCGACCTTATTTCTTTGCCCTTGAAGAATTATGAGTGACTCATGAAGGTTGTAGATTTACGAAAATTAAACTATACACTTCCATTATGTCCATATCCTTTGAACCAAATTTAAAATAAAAAAAAAAAAAAATTTTAACAATTATTTTAAAAGAATCGCTAAAATATCTCGAAATCCAAACATATCGAAAAATAAGTAGAGGATAATAGTTTTAAAAAAAAGTATTGAAAAAGAAAACAGGTTACTAATATTTCTTTAAGGGCGAAGGATTACATATCTGAAAACGATCGATGAACCGTACGATCTCACGTAACGCACTGGGTGTTACAAGGTCGAAGCACTGTCGATTAAAAGAACGATGGATCTCTATTCTGTGAAAGAACAGTGCCTGTACACGTCACTTAAAAAAGAAAAAACAAACAAATTCACCGAGAATTTAGACACGATCTAGTGGAAACAGTCTCTTCCCCATTTTTTTTCGAATTCGAAAACGGGAACCAGGTATCGATTAATACCGGAAATAGAGTGGCGGAAGGCCGAATCTCGACGCGGCACTTCTGCTCTTTGCTTTTTTAGTTAGTTTTTCAAATTCTTAGATAGGAGGAAATGGCCTATTGTAATGCGTGCATGCGGGATGGATCGTGAACACGAGGGGGTTGAAAGTATTACTGAAAGGTTACTAGAAAAGACAATATTGTTTTTGTCAAATTGATTTTGATTATCGAGTTCTGATTCTTTGGCCTTCAGTCTTGAGTGCTGAGTCTTGAATCTTTAGTCTTGAGTCTTGATAGTCTTAAAAGTCTCGCAATTCTTGAAGGTTTCGAAAATCTTGAAAGTCTTGATGGTCTGGAAGGTTTTGAATGTCTTAAAAGTCTTGAATGTCTTGAAAGTCTTGAAAGTCTTGAAATTTTGTGTGTAGGTCTATGATTTTTGACTGTTAACGTCTTTAGCGTTGGGTCTTGAATCCAGCATTCGGAATCTTGGGCCAGAAGTTCTGGATCTTGAACTTAGAGTCAGGAATTGTGGATTTTAAGCTCTTGGTCCGGATAATTGTGTCCGAAACTTTTGGTTCTGAGCCTTCAATCCTTTCTAGAGAGAAAAGTGAATCCCTTTCAGATTAGAAATTCCACCCGCCAAACAGATACATATCAATAAAAAAATACTCGAATCTAATCGATAGATCTGTAAATCCATCCTCGTGTCCAAATTTCGTACGGTTCATCCAGCACCCACGTACCGAACACCGAACTTCGAAGTCGTTGTAACTTGCCCCTCAAAGAGTATCGAAGAGTTTAACCTAGTTTGAGCACGTTCGAGGGCGCAACTTACAGCAAGAGAACAATCTTCCAACGAGAGTTACGAGGAAGAGAACTTGAAGAAAGATGTTGTATCGTTGCATGAGAGACGTGTGCGTATTTTCAGGCGGGAAACCGAACCGTTCGCTTCGTTCTTTGATCAGTTTCTTCCTGGAGGCGACGAGAACTCCATCTAGATCCCTTTCGACTGAGCATATTTCCCAGATGAACTCAAGATTGTCGGGTAGAAAATCAAATTTGAGTCTGATCTCTTATTTTTCCTAGCTTCTGAGTGATTTTGAACCAATTTTTTATTTGGTTCGTGTCCGGTTCAGTTCGGTTTGACTCGGTTTTAGATCGAAGGGGTCACGATGGAAATTCGTTATAAGGCTTCTGATCGTCGTGCATTCATTGAAAATGAAGGAATCTCTAACTCTAACTTGACGGACTGTTAGGGGCGTGATGTGGCCTGACCTTGAACCATCGTCACTTGCACGATGTTTGAATTCAATATAGAACACGTACAATTCGAAAATTCAGAAAATATCTGACGAATTTTTGTGATCGTTCGAATAACGCTCCTTGATTATAAATTAATGAATTATTATACTTGAAGAATACCATAGGAAAAACAATTCAATGAAAGTACATGAGATTATTTTAGGATTATATAATTGTTCTCCAATGTGTGAAATTATTGTAAATTTTCATATTAGAC